TTAGGTATATACTATGAAAATTTTCAGGTTCTTAATGAACCATGTCTTCGTGATATTTAGGTACACACCCTGAAAATTTTCAGCTTCTTAATGCTAGGGGCAGGCTTATATCTATATCTCTTAGGTATATTACACTACTCATACAAACTATGAAGAAAAATACTAAAAAAAGAGTATGATTCTTTGATTATTGCTCATGAATATGATAATTAAGTGAATCAGAGCTCCAAGAGATTTGCAGCTCTTTATTAACCCACTAGAGGGCACTTAAGTAGTCCTCAAGTCAGACATTCTCTCCTACGATCCTACCATCAACAAAATTATGAATTTGCTTCAGTGCATTTGAAACGTTATTATCATCAGAATAACTTACTATGGAAATAACAAAGCAGATGCATTATCAAAATTTGCAAAAGCGTTAACAAATCTCAAAAAGCTCGTGATAGTTATAATTCAAAATTGAAAGATCTTTCACTATTACATCTCAATCATTCTCATAAATGAATTTCCAGGGTCAAAAATGCATTATCAACAAAGATGGCTAATAAAGAGGTTGATTGGAGACAACTCTTATATATTACATATATATGGAAAACCCCTAGATAACTATTCATTTACCTCCCAAATTAGAAGGAAAACTCTCACATTTATATATGTGAATTATACTTTGAATTGACACTCGTTCAATCAAATATAGTTACACTATGTTGAAAAGGAGGAAGCCCACAAGGTTATAGGTGAACTACACAAAGAAGGATGTGGAGCTTACTATTCTAGGCTTAAAATGAAAATAAATAAATCAGGCAATAGCACAAACTTTTAAAAGCACAAAAAAAAAGAAGATTTATCCAATTCCATCATATTGATTGACACAACTCTACCAGCTATTATCCCAAGGAAAATGAGCTTGTGGTAAGCATATTTCCTAATAGGTGGAAGAATATCCCTACATAAACCACGTAAAGTCTAAGATTCATTATGAGTTCAAGGCTCATAAACTTTCCCAAGTACCATGAGTCAAATTTAGCTAGCTCGCTCTAGTAGTAATGGAGTATATGTTCCTCTAAGGTGTTTGTTATATGTTAAGGCAAATACCCTTTAAGTATCTGTTAGACTGGTCCAGTGGACCGGTCCAGCCGGTCCGCACGGGACCGGCCGAGTCGCAAAACAGGCGACTGGTTTCGCCTGGGCGGAAGTGCCGCACGCACGCATGATCCACGGGAGCTTTTTAGGAAGCTTTTTTGAGGGTTTTAAGAGGGAAATTTGAATGTAGGGACTGTTTAGGGATTTCCTTTTGATTTGTATGCATTAAATAGTTTGTTTTTCTAGGGTTTGGGCATCTTGAATTTGGCTGAAAAAATTTGAGATCTCTTAGATTTAGGCTTCTTTGGGCTCTAGCGGCGTCTAGAGATTTGGGAGAGATCAATCCTCCTCTCGAATTGAGGATCAATTGTATCTTGCTATTTTATTCATCGACTAGTGGAATACAAGCTTTTCTTTGAGTTTTCTCTCAGATTTCCTTGTCATTTTGCTGTTTTTCTGCTGTAAACAGCAGATTTCTGCTGTATTTCTGCTCTGGACAGCAGTTTTCATCGGATCAACATCAGTTTTGGTGAGAAACACTTGGGAACTCAAGTGTTTCCTATCAAATTGGTATCAGAGCATCGTTTTTGGGACCTTAGGCGGCTGAAATCCTGATTTTTCAGCGAGCTTTTGGCTTCCGGAAGTGATATTTTTTAGATCCATTGGGAAGAAAGATGGCCGGAAAGAAGGTTGACATCTTGGAAGGCGAAGTCGGCCAATTGAAAGCCGATTTGGAGGAAAGATTCTTCAACCTTCAAAATCAAATCACCTCCAACAATGAAAGGTTGGAGGGGAAGTTCACCGCAATGGAGGAAATGTTGAAGAAACTACTTGAGATGAAAACCAATCCGGCGACATCGGAAGTAAGAGAGACCGCCGACGGTCATGGCATGGGAGGAAATCCGAACCCCTCGCAGGGGGGAGAAATTTGGAGGTGGAGATCCTAAAGGAAGAGAACGACAGGCCTCCTCTAGAGCCTCTTTCGAGGGAAGAGATGAGTATGGGATATGACAGAAGGGAGGGTGATTTTGGTGGGAGGAGAGAGGGATCTCATCGCCAAGGTGCTGAATTCGAAAGAATTCAGCGTCGAGGGGGGATTTTGAAGGAAGAAGGGAGGAACGTCATCGTCGAGGTGCTGAATTTGAAGGTATTCAGCGTCGAGGTGATGAGGTTGAAGGGAGGAGAGGTGAGTATGAAGAGGGGTTAGAGTATATTCGTCGGAGGGACGATCGGGACAATTGGGGAACGCCTCCTCTGAGGGGAATGGGAGGCTATGGAGGATACCGGGGAGATCCCAAGGTGAGGAAATTGAAGATGCCCGTTTTCGAGGGGGAAGACGGCCATGGCTGGATCTACAAGGTGGAGCGTTACTTTGCGGTCAATGGGTTGACAGAGGATGAGAAGCTGACGGCGGCAGGATTGTGTCTGGAAGGAAAGGCTCTGGCATGGTATCAGTGGCGTGACAGGAGGGAGCCTATCAGGAACTGGAGGGAATTCAAAAACTGCATAATAGAACGTTTCCAAACCAACCGGGGAGGAGATTTCTATGAGCAGTTCTTTGCTCTGGTGCAGGAGGGATCAGTAGAAGACTACCGTGATCGGTTCGAGCACCTGGCTAGTAGGGTGGAGCGATTATCAGATAGCGTATTGGAGGGGAACTTCATGAAGGGGTTGAAGGCAGAGATCCGAGTGGCAGTTAAAGTTCTGATGCCTAGTGACTTGGAGGAGGCAATGAAGTTGGCACAGCTGGTAGAAAATCAGAATAATCTGGAGAAGGGAGCTAGGAGCAGCAGCTCAGGAGGCTCTTACAAGACTACGACCACTCTTTTAGCACAAAAGGGGCCTGCATCAGTCAACAATAATGAGATCACCAGGGAGAAGCCAATAGGAGGGGGGAGTGGGGATAACCTCAAGAATCTCACTGAGACAGAATTACAGGAGAAGAGGGCAAAAGGGCTTTGTTTCAGATGTGACGAGAGGTATACGCCGGGGCACAGGTGTAAGGACCGAACTCTTCAAGTTCTTACTGTTTGTGATGAAGAATGAATGGAGGGTGTCGTCTTTCCACCTTGCGGACAAGGTGGATCTTTGGGAGGGGAGTATTGTTAGACCGGTCCAGTGGACCGGTCCAGCCGGTCCGCACGGGACCGGCCGAGTCGCAAAACAGGCGACTGGTTTCGCCTGGGCGGAAGCGCCGCACGCACGCATGATCCACGGGAGCTTTTTAGGAAGCTTTTTTGAGGGTTTTAAGAGGGAAATTTGAATGTAGGGACTGTTTAGGGATTTCCTTTTGATTTGTATGCATTAAATAGTTAGTTTTCCTAGGGTTTGGGCATCTTGAATTTGGCTGAAATTTGAGATCTCTTAGATTTAGGCTTCTTTGAGCTCTAGCGGCGTCTAGAGATTTGGGAGAGATCGATCCTCCTCTCGAATTAAGGATCAATTGTATCTTGCTATTTTATTCATCGACTAGTGGAATACAAGCTTTTCTTTGAGTTTTCTATCAGATTTCCTTGTCGTTTTGTTGTTTTTCTGCTGTAAACAGCAGATTTCTGCGGTATTTCTGCTGTGGACAGCAGTTTCCATCGGATCAACTTCAATTTTGGTAAGAAACACTTGGGAACTCAAGTGTTTCCTATCAGTATCATGCGTTTAGTATGGGCATATTTCTGATCAGAGGTTGTGGAGTTTAAGACCCAAATAACTTAGCTCGTGTGTCCCCAATATCTAAGGGAAGCTATTCTTAATGGTAGTATGATTCCTATCTCAGCTTCTTTATTCCCATTATCTCAAGGAAGGTATCCTTAATAGTTCTATGATTCCAATGTAAATATCGCAAGAGGCTGTGGAGTACAAGTTTCCCTAAGGTGTTTATGGCAAGACCATTATGGTCTTGAGTTTGGTCTGAGCATGGCATCTCTCTCTAGAGGTTTTACCAAATAACTTAACTCTGGATCTATAATTTTATTGTAGCATCATAAATGGGATTCAATTAATTAATCATAAGCGCCTTCCCCTATAAAAACTCGACCCCATGATTAAAGTAAATCATGTTTGAATCCACATTTTACTTGGGAGAAATTTCTTAGATGCAATTTAATGTTCCTTCCAAAGGTTCTCAATTGGTGACGAAGCGTGATGGTTTAATCATTTTCGTTAGTCTATTTTCCTTTTAACCCCACCTAGCCCTCATATCTCACATAATTCTTTATTTCCTTGCCAATGATAATTCTTTATTTCCGACACATTGAAGATGGTTGAGTAGCTGAGAAGAGCTACCATGATTTACCCTTGATTGAAGAAATGTTTTGGCTTAACTCTTGCTCCAACAATGTTAGCACCTACAATACTATCTCATTGAGAGCACCACATTGAGCAACTCTCAATTTTCTTTCACCAAACAATGCAACCATAATAATCTCCTTATGGACATCACTTTACATAGCTCAACTCTTATATTGTTGGGTCAAGGTCTCATTGTGCCTTAGTTCAAGGCTCAAAACACAACCTAGATGCTACCCTGAATATCAGTCAACGAAAAGCTTCTTTATTTGTATTTAGTTTGGCAGCATATAGGTCATGTTAAGTTCATGGTCTATGATGATGTTCAACATGCACCAAGCTCTTACACTCAAATGCTTTAAGGACGGTGACATTTGCCACACAAAGCAATAAAGCACAGTGATGAAGAAGAAGAAAAAGAAGAGTGCTTTTGATAATTTTTATTCGAAGGAAAAACGATAATAATGAATTCATCTGATATATTATAAATAATTTTGTAAACCTAATAGACCTACATATAATTTTCTTTAAAAAAAGTAATTCAAAGCTATATACTATAGCACTTGATAATATTATTTAATCAGGTCAATGAGTTAATCATAAATGAAGTATCCTACATGAGGATGTCATATTACCTCCAGCAAAGCACTTGTTCCACTATTTGGGTCGACTGCCCCAAATGTCCATGCATCTCGATGATTTCCAAGAACTACATACCTATAATAAAAATATAAGCATTCCACTATATAATTATTATTGTAAAAAGAATTTTTGTGCAATTTCAAAAAACAAGTGATAAAAAATATATCATTAATATAAAATGAATTAATTCTTAATCATTATGCATAACCATCTATATCTAATGACTAAGAATTTATTACGTAAATGGATGGAAAGTCTTCCTAGGGTAATTTATGTTAATAAGGTGCTTGAAAATTCCATAAAAATGACAATGCTTAGGTGGTGAGTTCCTCATGCAAAAACTTTCTAATTCAAATCAGTTAATTAAAATCATTTAGTTATTTCTTTCTTTCTACCTTTCTTCTTGTTTCTTTCTTTTCTTGATTGATACATGATATCCAATTAAGCTTAACTTAAGTACTAAGCTATATGTTATTACTTTTTTTACCGAGATCTTATTTTTATCTTGGTTTTCTCTCTTAAGTTTTAGGAGTTTTTTTTTTTTCATCCATAATCAATAAAGGTGTGTTATAGTTTTCCACTGCTTACTTGACCTTAGAGAGCATGCTGGAAGTAAGACAACCTTTGGAGGCTATGTTCACATCTATACAGTGGTTGAGTTTTGCTTAGGCGAAGAAGACTGAGGGAAAAGAGATTAGAAAGATTGTTTTGAATGATAGATTTTGGCAAAGTATCTTATATACCATTACAACTACTAGACATTTGGTTCAAGTTTTAAAGATGGTGGATGGTGAGAAGAAGCCTGCAATGGGTTTCATCTACAATGTCATAGATGAAGTCAAAAAAATGATTGGCTCCAAATTAGGAGGCAGAGATGATAGCTTTAGGGAAATTTGAAATATTATTGATGATAGATGGGAGCTACAGATTCACCGGTACTTGCATACAGGCTATTACCTACCCTCAGTATCAATATGCAGAGAACAAGTTTACAAACCCTGAAATAAAGTTGGGATTGTATCATTGCATGGATCGGCTAATAAGTGATGCAACTGAAAGATCAAATGCTGACATACAATTAGTACCTTTTAGGAATAAAGAAGGCCTTTTTGGATTATAACAAGCAAATGATACAATTGTCAAACGATCTCCAGGTAATTTTATTTAATGTTTTAAACATTTATTTAAAAGTTATTTTTTTCGCACTAATTAAACTCTCTTATATAAATATTAGTTGAGTGTTGGATTCAATTTATCGATGGGACTCCATAATTACACCGTTTTGCTGTGTAAGTTTTGGGCTTGACATATTCTTCATGTAGCTATGAAAGAAATTGGAGTACCTACAACCAAGTACATACAAAGAGGAGAAATTGCTTGTCGAAATTGAGGATGAATTCACTAGTGTACATTATGTACAATAGGAGACTCAGAGATAGGAAATTGAAGAAAAAAAAAGGATTAATGGACGATGAAGATCCTTTGCTTTGTGAGGATGTGACATCTGATGATGAATGGTTTGTAGATGATGAAGTTGAAATGATACCGTCTGAATTAGAAGATGAAGATTTAAATTCTTTGATGGTCTTAACGCATCTACATCCACCACAACTCCAGAACAAATCAAAAAAGGTATATGAATAATATATTTTTCATAAATTTTTATTAATGTATTACACTATTATTCATTTTGAGATTGTTCAAAAATATTAAGGGAACGGGAAGATAATTGATATTGAGGAAGGACCTGATTGGGAGACATTGGACTCTAGAGGAGGAAGGGGAGAGAGCAATTCATCATAATGATGATTCAAATGAAGACCCCCTTAATGATGACAGTGCTGATGACATATGAGTTCTTATGTGATATGTCATTGCTATTTATTTTTGAAATTATAAGTTAATGAAAAGAATACTGTGATTTGGAAAAGTTAGAGTTTGAGTTGAACTATATTTCATATTATCTTATTATTGGGATATTTTGATTTCACTTCATATCTTGTGCATTTTTATGTTTTATATATTATTTACTCATTAGTATATACAAAATTTATCATTTTATATTTACACAATCTTTTGATTTTGAGGCTTACACCTCAAAACGCCTTGAGGCTTACGCCTCGCCACACGAACGAAAAATTCCTCAATACCCGATTACATAATTTTAAACATTGTTTAGAAGAATACTTAAGTACATCAAACAGACTCTTCATGTTTGGCTACCTATTCGAACCAATGAAATATAGTTATAGGCATTCTCAAACTCCAATTGGGTTGCAGATATTGCCAATCACAAATCAACTACTGGATATTACGGATTCCTTGAACCTATTGTCATACCCTGGTGCAAAAAGAAACTATCCATATAGACTCGCTCCTCCACCGAGGTAAAATATTGTGGTTAAGTCACTAAAACTACATACATCATCAGGCTCCAACAGCTAATTCAAGTCTTCGTGATGCAGACAACTAGATAGAAAAAGTCATAAGGGAGAACACCAGGACAAGTAGAACCTTTCTCGATTCAAAACATAGAATGCCAACATCAAACAAACTTCAAAACAAACGAAAGCCAAACTAGCGAAAACTAAATTGAAAATAAGAATAGCTACCTGCAGAACAACTAACTAGTGGTCACCTCACATGCAACGAAAATAGTAGACAATATAAAAGATGTGCTTAAGAGCATGCAAACCAAGGGTCCACCATAGCTACTTGAGCCAACGTCCACCAAAACTCCTCCGAAAAATGCTACCAAATCGGCCAACCAACACCTCCAATAGCTCAAGAAGAAAGATACAAGTGGAGTGAAACTTGTGGAGAGAAGAAAGAGATAAGAAGACCAAGACGAAATTGAAGAGAGGAAGAGAGAAATGGACAAGCTTGCAAGCTTTCCCAAGAAGAAAACCCAAAGGTTTTGGCTCCAAAAATTATTTCATAAACTCTCTTTTTTTTTAAATAAAAAATCACATATTTAGACCTGAAAAGAGGCTCTCAAACAGCCCAAAAATACTTCATCCGAACCATCCAGGAAAGGGAAAACAGAAGGCCAGCAGGTGGTCCAGGAGCAACACCCGAAGGGCCCATAGGGAATCGAAACAGGCAACCACGAGAGACAGGAACAGGCGCCCACAGGGAACCGGAACAGGCAGCCACATGGAGAGGAAAGGCAGCCAGGCGGAGGAACTGAAAGGCTAGCAGAGAGGGGTGGGAAGAAGAGGGGAATGAATCAAATTTGGCATTAAATACACACTAATGAGCTGATTTTAGAAGAAGAAAACTGCAACTCATTAAATGCCCCCCCCCCCCTCCTTTGCTTACATCAGATTCTTCCCAGGTTGAAAGTGCTCATCTCTTGATGAGGATGCTTTAGATTTTCCCCGACGAGACGAAGGATCCGCATCTAAGTCTTGAATTAAGGGCACATATTTTTTCATGATCATTTCTCTTTCTTGCTTGGATTGGTCTTGCAAAAGTCTCTTTTTCTTCACGTATTTTTCCATACACACATGCATCTTCATCTGAAGTTTGTATAATTCGTTTTGAATTGGATCGATTGAACTTCTTTGCGACGGAATCCATCTGTCCATAGGAATATCTTCTTCAAGAGCAATGGCTTACTTCTCCAACCTCAGGATCAATTTCATTACGTTTTTCCATTTTCCTAAATACTTAAAAAGATACAAACAACTAGGAATATCCTAACCTAGGCTCTGATACAAAACTTGATGCAGACAACTAGATAGAAAAAGCCACAAGGGGAGAACACCAGGACAAGTAGAACCTTTCTCGATTCAAAACTTAGAATGACAACATCAAACAAACGAAAGCCAAAAAAATGAAAACTAAATTAAAAATAAAAACAACTACCCTCAGAATAACCTACTAGCGGTCACCTCACATGCAACGAAAATAGTAGGCAATATAAAAGAGTGCTTATGGGCATGCAACCCAAGGGTCCACCACAGCTACTTGGGCCAACGTCCACCAAAACTCCTTCAGCAAATGCTACCAAAACGGCCAACCAACACCTCCAATAGCTCAAGAAGAAAGATACAAGTGGAATGGAACTTGTGGAGAGAAAAAAGAGATAAGAAGCCCAAGACGAAATCGAAGAGAGGAAGAGAAAAATGGAACAAGCTAGCAAGCTTTCCCAAGAAGAAAACCCACAGGTTTTGGCTCCAAAAATTATTTCAAAAACTCTCTTTTTTTTTTAAATAAAACATCACATATTTATAGCTGAAAAGAGGCAGCCAAACAGCCCAAAAATACTCCAGCTGAACCATCCAAGAGGTGTAAAATAGAAGGCCAGTAGGCGGTCCAGGAGCAGCACCTAAAGGGCCCACAGGGAACCGGAACAGGCAGCCACAGAGGAGAGGAAAGGCAGCCACAGGAAGGGGAGTCAGGCGGAGGAACTGAAAGGCCAGTAGAGAGGGGAGGGAAGAAGGGAATTAACAAATTGGATAATACAACTAATGAGTTGGATTTAGAAGAAGAAAACTGCAGCTCATCATAGTCGCCCCCCCCCCCCCGCCTACATCACTTTGACATTTAGACTAGCTTACCCACCCCTCTATTATGTGACAATGTCTTAGCTCTAGCATTAGCCAACAACTTGATTATTCGCACTCGCACCAAGCATATAAAAATTGAATGTCACTTCAGTAGATATTACATCAAATCCAAGGCTATCATAGTGCATCACATATCAACACAAGATCAAGAAGATGATATTTACAACAAAGCACAATCAAATTCGAAGGACTTCACTTTGCGAGACAAACTAACACTCCATTTATTACCCATCAATTTGCGAGATGCTGATAACAAAACACAACCAGCAAGCGAGATGCTGATAAGAAAACACAACCAGCAACAATTCTACCTTCCATTAACTCTATAATATAGCAGAGACTCCCCCTCTTCACCCTCTCTGCATATATCAGGAGCATTCACGTCAAACTACCATAAACAACTTGGGTCACTAGATCATAATCACTCGCACCTTGTAACAAACCCATATACTCCTAGTATAAACCGAAGTGCTATATCAGTAGAGTGTATGAAGAATGTAACTCCAGCTTCTCTAATGAAAATTTTCTACCTCCTCCCCTTCCCGTTTTCTCACTATTTCTTGCCACACTGCATAGCATTCAACTTCTTCAAATGCTATTTTAAGCACAAGACTTCACCCTTGATAATAACAGAACGAACATTACATAAGACAACAAGTGAATAAACTTACCGGTCTGGCTCTTCCCTCCCTTCTATCACACCTATAACATTCTGGATCATCATTAAAGTTTCATTCCCCAGAAGCAATAATAGCACAAGGAGATATCAGAAATCCTCAATTCGCGATATGTATAACAGAGAAAAAATGAACCAAAAATAAATAAATAAATAAAAACCTTAATTAACTTCAATGCTCACCAAGTATGTAAGATGCACAAAACCTGGTCCCGGCCCCAGCCGATACACCGGCGCTCCTTCTCCACCTTGCCAATCATCCGCCGCCACCTTTCCTCTAATCGTCCTCAATATAGCCTCACCATCCCTCGAAGATAACGGCAAGGATGGGATCCCCGGCATCAATCCGGTCGCCACCACTTCTTCAATCCCTATCCTCTCACAATCGCCGACGCTGGCCCACCCCGGCGTTGTCGGATCCCCAAGCCCTCGATATGTACTTCCCACTTGCACCCCACTGGGCGGCATCCACCGATCATTTGGAAACCACTTCCCGCCAATGCCCCCGCCATAGTCTTTAGCATCACTATACACAATTGCAGCTATCGCCCCCGCGAGCTGCGCATTCCTCACGATATCCCCTCTATAAATCTCTCCGTAGCGGGCGATTACAACGTTTCCGGATACATTAACCGCGGATTCTTTCAGAGCAGCAAAGTCTTCGACTCGGCCGTAGTTGGCGTAGACCACGAGCCCTGCGGCGGTGCCCGAGTGGGCGTAGGCGTGGAAGGTCGGGAGGATATCGGCAGCCACAGCGGCGTAGGGATCGTCAGGGTAGATTTCCTGGATGAGATCGAAGGGAATGGCGGGGGCGGAGGAATTTGTGGAAAGGGAAAGTGAGCGATGGATGGGGTAAGAGAGGAGGACGTTATAGGAGGTGATGTGAGAAGGAATGGAAGCGGAAGAGAGGGTGTTGAGGACGTAGGCGGCGGCTACGGAGTTGGCGTCGGATCCGGCGACGTGGGGGCGGCGGGTGAGGGCGAAGAGGTGGCGCGCGGCAGTCTCGTTGGAAGAGAGGGAGAGGAAGAGAGAGTGGTACGTGGATGTGGAGCGTGGATAGATAGTGAATAGGAGGAGGAAGGTGACGATGATGGCGCCGCCGGCAGGTACCGGGGCGATTCTGTAAAAGAGACGCGGTTGGCTTTGGTTCTTCATCGGTCTGGTCTGGTCTGGTCAGGTCGAGGAAGAGTTCGAGTTATTTATGACGCGGCTATCCGGGTTCGTTCGAGCTCAGATCAACTAATTTGAAACAGGGAAAATTTTTTGAGTAAGCGTGATTAGTAATATAATTAGGTGATTATGCACAGTTTTAAAAAATTAAAATTAGGCATAATCGTCCGTTTAATGGGCAATTAGCTATGCAGGTGAAAATCAGGTGAATATCGATGAACCAGCGATAAGATACTATCTCGAATTTTTTAAAAAAAGCCTATATGATGCCCGATTTTTTTTCATTCATGCGTTCGTATCTCCCGATCCCGACTGACCGGCTTCGCCTCTCGTTGCGTGAAGGTAAGTTTATATGTTTTTTTTTATTCATTCATTAATTTTCATAATGGAAGTTTAGATTTGAAATGAAAAAAGAAATGCACAATGTATTATTGTAGAATGAAATAGTGTTGTTATGTTCTATATTTGCATTTTGTGAGGAAAGTTGAAATGAATATGGTAAAAGTGAGAAATATTTTTTTTAATTTGAAAAATGAAATGAGTGAATATGATATCACAAGTGAGGGAGATATTATTTGGTGCGGAGACCGGACGTTGCATTACGTCCGGACACCAATTAAAATTAGACAAGTGGGTCCTCCACGTGTATTTTTTTGTGTATTACATTTTCTTAATGTCTTGTCAGCCCGATCGACCCTAAAAATTTGAATGCAGGAGTTCAAAAGACGTGAAATGGGGTTTTTAACTTTTCACCCAACATTTTTAATGTTTCACTCTCTCTCTCCTCTCGTTCGGTACTCGAGAAGTTGTTTTTTTCAAACCTTCGGCATTTTCATTCTCAAGAACCAATCGGGCGTAGCAGAAGTTCGTCTACTTTGCTTTTAAAAACAAGTAAAAAATATTGCACCTTTGTTGTGATTTTACTGTATATTAATACTTTTTTGTTATTTTTTTCCTTATTTTTCTTGCGTTTTATGTGTAGTTTTACTGTGTTTTTGCATTTATGACATCATTTACTATATTGATTATGTAAATAGTTATTTTCATCTTTCACTTTCTTCTGCACTATCCCTATGCTGTCGATGAGCTTTAATTGTGCTTTTAATACGCTTACCTTTTCTTTTAGTTTCCATCTTATTCACTGTTTTATTTTTTTTTTTTTGCAGATGCCTCTTTATTGTCGTTCAGTTACTTCTCGTTGCTACTTTTCAACCTTCAGAAATATTTGCAACACATTTTGTAAAATAATTCACAAAGATGTTGAGGACACTTTGAGGACACTTAACATCTATCAGTTATTGATGTTCCCATAATTCTAGCAAAATATATCTCTCTTATATTAGCTAATAAAATACGAGAATATTTCTAAACAAGGCTTCATCATCAAAGGTCATTTGCTTAAATTCACTATTGATGAGATGGCTCTGCTTACAGATTTGATTTTAAAAACAAATTTTCTACATTCTTCAATGTATCCATCTACATTTTTATAGATTTGATTTTAAAACCATATACTGTTCATAGGTTTTCCAAACAGAGATGTTGAGATCATGTGGCAGAACGAGGCACTTATTGGAGTTTTATCAACTGAAATTAAAATTGAGATGACAGAACTAAACAGATCAATTGATCAAAAAGCTATGTTATAAACTTTTTATAATATTTTTTGTCTCTAATTTATTTTTTTCTCACAACAACCTTAAAACCCCAAGAAGACTCATTTCTATAGCTAGTAATATAGAAGAATTCTCATATTTTACTATCTATAAATAATATATCCAATCACATGTCCTAAGGCAATGTTTTGCTTTCTCCTAAGGCAATGTTTTGCTTTCTCCTAGTGGCTGGAAGTCGAATGGAAGTGAGGTTTTGGATGTAGTCAATTAGCATTTTAGCTTCATCCATTTGAATGTTTGACATGATGAAGTAGGTAACAATTGATAGTTGGGGAGTCATATTTATCCAGTCTCCAGTTTTAAGGATAATATATGTTATGAGAACATGTTAGATAACCCTGTCATTTTTATTTAGACTTTATACTAAGGGTTAATGGAAGTTTAGAGTAGCATTTCTAAGCAACAAGTTTACAACACTCCAATCAAAATCAGATCTGAAGGCTATGGCAAGGGGTCAATTTTCCTTGGTGTTTAGTTGAAGGTGAATTCCTATATTCTCCTTAGTAATTTCAACATTCTGATAACACACTAAATAAGTTATAATCGTAGCATCTCCACTAATCCCAAGGTTTGCTAGAAATTCATAAAGTATTTCAGAATGGAAGGGATGGGCAAAAGTTATAAGAAATTGAAGTGCAGTAGAGTTGGAGAGGTTCATTGTTGAGAAGTTAAGAGCTTGCTGATTCAGAAGTCTGGAAGGCATGATATTTGCTTCCTTGTAACTTATGTTGGAAAGTTCATTAGAAGCTATCAAGAAAATAATCGTCTGTAGGGTTCTGAGATGTGGAAGCCCCGTGGGTTTATCGACTACATTTTATGCTGGCCATTGCAAAGATTTGAATACAATAAGAGAGGATTTGAAGAGTGGTGTGAAAAATTTGAATGTGGTTGGTTGTTTAAATAGAATTTTAACATATCATATCATATGATTATGGGATCGTATTGGATGATCGTATACAATTATTTTTTCCATACGATCCATCAAAAAGTTATGTCTAATTGTATAGTACAATCAAAATTTTGTATGGGGTGATTAGTGACATGGATCTTATCCTGAGGAGTCAAGCTGTTTGACTTTTGACCATAAGGTTCGTACAGTATGAATTGGTGTTTGTATGGTACGATCGATAAAAAAATGTCATACCAAATTGAATTCAATTCATCCCAAATGGAGTTGACATATGGAGTGTATTGTATGAAGACTTGTTCATACAATATGATGGTCAATGATATAAGCAATCTAGATCATTCATCAAGGCAAGGGTTGTAATTAAAGCAATGTTGTTCATTTTGTACAATACAAATGTGGTTCGTACAATACAATTGAGGATTAAAAAAATTTTGTTTTGCAAAACAGACAGTGAGGTTCAGTAATATGGTTTGTGTCATGATCACGACATAATCATAAAGAATAAACAACAAAACCAAAAGAACAAGAATATAAAATAAAATTAAAATTATGAAAAATCATAAGACAAAAATGCATATATTGAGAAGATCATGAATGGCTGATTTCAAGTGATAGGGCAACAATATCAAGCTCAAAAACCACATGCTCCCACTGGGTTTTTTTTTTTTAGAGTCCTCAAATCCAAAGTTCATGGAAGAACATATTTAGGAGCCCAATTAAGTTTGGGTCCCTTCTTAAATTTTGATAAATCATTATAATGCATGTCATACTATGTTTGATATAGCTTTGTTCTCCACACTAAGTGCATTCTACGATGAATGGTGCAATGTGGCTAATGTGTCCTAACATGCCACATGAATAAAAGCTAACATCAGGGAAAGGTTTAACTAACTTATGATAGTTATATAATTTTTTAGAGAGAGAGAGAGAGAGAGACTCATTTTCTAGAAAGAGAAAATTCAAAATTTTGAATTTTTGTTGCGTTGGATGCAACGTCGGCGATGATGGTTAGCCAGGCGGCGACCTCTTTAGGTGGCCGGACGTCAGCAAACCTGAATATGGATAGATCATTGTTGAATAAAAAATCTTCTAAATCGGAGTTTGGATTCAATTCAAGACCTTTCAATGGTCTGTTGGTGATCAGAGAAAACTGCACTGAACGTATCAAAATTTCTTCACCAGATATCGGTAAGGGAAAGCATGTGGTTCTGGACTCAAATGTGGTAACCCCTTCATCAAATTTGAATGTTATTTCAAAAGACTTTGAATCTTCATCTTCTGGTATGAACATCTTTTTGAACCGGTTTGGAAATAGTGGAATTTAACAAAGGGAGACCCTTCTGTTCAGATGATGGGAGAAAGCACTTCAGATGTTCGAGAGAATGTTCAAACGGAGTCTGAAGGGTTAAATTAATTTCCTATTAAGAACGTATAAAATCCTTGGATTAAACGTTCTCATATCACGGTGAATATGTCAATGGGAGAATCTTTCTTGTCTCATGATGGAAAGGTTGTCAAATTATTTCAACCAAAGATGTTGGAGAATTTTGAGAAGCTTCAAAAATCCATTGTGGTTAAAGTTTTTAGGTTAGCTATTTCAGTACAAATTATAGCGGCAGAATTGAGATGTCAATGGTCTCAATTCTAGAAATTCCATGTAACAATTCTTGGCTCAGGGTGGATGCTATGGTCCTTTTTTCACAAGAGTCTATGGAGAAAGTCATTTCAGGAGGACCATGGTTCGTAAATGGTCATATTATTGGGCTAGACAAGTGGAGTCCTAAATTTTCTACAACTTCCCTAAAGGGTTTAACATCTTCTGTGTGGGTAAGATTGCCAAATCATCCACTATTTTGTTGGGATGAAATTAATGTTGCAAGGATTGATTCATTAATAGGGTCTCCTTTGTTAATTGATGGTGATATGTTCCAATGGGGAAGAGGGGGTTTGCAAAAGTGATGTTATTCCAAAAGAAGTGGGTAGTTCAGGCTTGGGTTATATTATTCCTGGATCTCAAAAACCAAAGCTACTAAAAGAACTTAAGCACTTGGGGCCTTGGACCAATTCTTCCAGATCCAAAAAATATGAGGGTAATATTAAAGGTAAAAGTGGGGGTCCCTTCGCCCCCCCTTTATCCAAATGACTTCTTTAGCTTTCTGGAATTATAGGGGGGCTAACAAGAGGGAACCCTCCCTTTATTTAAAGGAATTTGTGAAAGATTGGGATGTATTTTTTGTTGGGGTGGTTGAAACCAAGATCTCTTCCTTTGAGAGATATGAAGTTAATAAGTTGTTGGGTGATGAATGAGATTTTTTCCTATATCCTTCAGAGGGTGCTTCTGGAGGTATTATTGTATTATGGAAAGCTAATATGGCAAAGTTTTCTTTACTAGATGCTTCACCTTAATGTGTAATTGGGGAGTTAAGTATTCAT